AGAGTAGTGATGCAAAATATCAGTTAAGATAATAAGTAATTTAATTTGTCAAATGGGATGATAGAAATTATTCGGGGAGAAAATATTCGATCGTTGGGCAACCAATCTTGATCGATACCTGCTAAAATCAACTCTCTTGGCTGTCACAGCAACAAGTGAATCATTAGCAGTAGCGACGAAATAATTTTTGTCTGATGATCATTAAGATCTATTATCATGCCTCTCCTTGGATATTGTTGATACAGTAACTAATTGTTTTTCTTTCCATATATTACTCGATAGCAATAAAAATCATCTTTACTGAGTTATTTAAAGCATCCAATGATTAATATGTAGTAATATGATACGGCTTTTCAGACCAATCCGAAAATGGATTGATTACTTTCCGTATATCATCTATCTACTCTTCGTAGGGGTTGGCAGTGCTTGTAAAATTGTAACTGCCTTTTCTATATTGAATTACCTAGACTTCCCATCAATAGTAACTTCGTTATGATAGTCTACAGAATTAGCGATACAATAAGTTTTCGCTACGATCATCAATCAATCAATCAATTAGATATAATGGCATCTGATACCGATAGACAGAGCAACGGTAAATATAACGTAATGTCTGCCGAGCTATTGAACGTCGCTTGGGTTACCGTAAATAGTAAGTTGTTATTATTGATAGCTGGGATAGTATTCACCGTTCAGCCGCATGCTGGCAGTACCATAAGGATTGAATTGTCGCAACTACGAAATCAAATTATTATTATTGCTTTCAATGATTACCTACTGAGTAATAATAACTTTACTCATCATCGTATTGTAACATGTATCAAGACTTACATCTAAGAAAGAACTCGGATACATTTTCCATCATTGTGTCGACACACTTTCAAAATATTTATTTCATATTAATGTTCTGTCAGTTAATATTTGTAAATTAAATTACATAAAAAGAAAATTTTAAAGTCTAAGTTAGGTTAAAATTTACTATTTCGTGTCGCTACAACTGAAAATTATATAAAAGTATTAATGATTTAACTAGAAAAAAATTGAGAATTTTTTGAGGCAGTATTCAAATTGTTCTCTTTCAGTATCTGTTGGATAGATTAGCACCGATCTGAGAATGATGGATATCCTTTAAACATAGTAATTTGTTTGTCAGTAAATTTTCATTGCGTTGATTTTTATTATTCTAGGAAGTATCGGAATTATTCAAATAACAAACAGTAGATGAAAAAAATGCTTCATATATATACAATATTACACTTTAGATTGTAGATAGATTCATGTATGTTTGGTCGATTTTTATAGCCCTGCTCTTGTATTTATCATTTATTCACTATTTTACAGAATTAATAACTGTATATAGAATAAAGTAATATTTCATACTTAGTAATTGTCTGAATCTCAGTAATTGAACTAAACGCTGGGGAATAAAGCGTAAATACCATGGCTATTAATTTGACAAGAATATTATAATTGTTTAAAATAGCAGTAGGTCAAGATGTTTAATTTTATTTTATACCAGCCGTTATATTGATTTGTTTTGCACCCATATTGCAGTTTTCTGGTATTGCAAATAGTGAAATATTGAATACAAATCGTTATACCTTTACTATCGCAAAATATACTCTAGTTTGATTATCATTCACAGAATATTTGGCTATTGCTAATATCAAATGGTATCAGTGAGTAACTTAGCACGAGTAAATGTCTGCATGGGTCAATGTTAAGCTGAGTTATACGCTCCATATTAAGAATTAAACAAATTATAAGTATTTATAGTATAATATATCACATTATTAGTTATGGGTTATCTATTACTTTATTATTTCTAATTAAATTCTGATAGCATAATATTAAGATTAGCTCTATAACGACTAAATTTTTTTATACGAATTATTTTTTGATTAATTCTGCATAATTTAAAGTTTATTAAAAGTAAGTTTGTAGATCAATCATTGAATATCCTTGACAATACTAGTTACATTGGCCAATTTAGTTATAAAAGTTAGCTCAGTTACTCCGCATACCGGCATAAATACTTTTCAAATTTTAACTTTATAAATTTTAAGGAATGATTAGAAACACTTAGATGCTTCCATCCTATCTACTGATACAGTACATTATATACATGAGTGGTTCGAATGTTGCCGATAGAATTTATTTACTGATAAAGCAGATTTCGTCCCAGCAAGAATTACTTGTTATTTACGACCTGAAATTGACGCATAATTCGACCAGTTTACTAGACTTGTAGTATAAGTAGCATTGCAGCTATTTTAGTGCGTTTTAGTGCAATGGAAGTATAGTCAATGGATCAGTATCTAGTTGGTCTACAATAAATAATATGTATAATTTAAGGTAACAAAAAAATGATTGATTTAATTATGCAGATATGCATACATATCAGTAGAATGGATCAATATTTTAATTAAATTAATCTATAAGTACAATGTCTTGGTAGACAATTCACAATAGTAACCGCTACGGGCATTGGCATTAATATTGTATGATATTTAGCGCGAAATAGGCTGTCATTATTTCAAACAAAATCTAGTAAACTATTGTTCGAATGCTTCTATGTACCCCTAATTTGGGTCATAATCAATCTATTTAGACTCTTTCAACACTCGCATTGAATGGAAACTGGTAAATTGGTTATTGGATGATGTATAGTCGATAAATACCAATGCTATGAGTGTTATGTATGATAGACTGGTAATGTTTAGAGATTATTGCGTGATTGACCTAGTGTCGCACGAGAGAACATAGCGATGAGCATGTTAATTTTTTTATTATAGGTCAATTTAATCCTGATACGGATAAGCTCCATGATGTTTATATTCTACGTATATCGAGATTACCTCGAGTAGAGTTAGAATGCTTTACCTTAATATTCGGTACTGGAAGGAAGAAACGGTGGACGATATTAGTTCGTGTTATTAACTACTAGCTGAATAATGCCCCGTCTATTTTTTGAGTAATTTGTCTTAATAGAAATTGATATTTGCTTACTCAAGCTGCTTTATTTATAATGTTCTTTTCAGCTTACGTTTAAAATAATTTCTAGTTTCTTGCTAGATTACGTATTAACTGAATAATTACGTTACGTCGTTATAAGCTGTATGCATGTAAGTTTACTTTCCAAATGGGGCTAAGTCCATAATGATCATAATACGGTATAAGTCTATCGGATGTCATTTTATAATATCCTTAGCTTAGGTCTAACTTATCCTTCAAATACTTACTCCCCACTAGAAGCACTCAGCATATCCTGACAAATTGCAGAGCTCTACAACATCGTAGCCCACCATAATCGCATTTAATAGGCCTAAAATACTTTTCATTTTATAACATCCTTAGCTTAGGTCTAACTTATCCTTCAAATACTTACTCCCCGCTGGAAACACTCAGCATATCCTGACAAATTGCAGAACTCTACAACATCGTAGCCCACCATAGTCACATTTAATAGTCCTAAAACACTTTTCATTTTATAAAATCCTTGACTTAGGTCTAACTTATCCTTCAAATACTTACTCCCCACTAGAAACACTCAGCATATCCTGACAAATTGCAGAGCTCTACAACATCGTAGCCCACCATAATCGCATTTAATAGGCCTAAAATACTTTTCATTTTATAATATCCTTAGCTTAGGTCTAACTTATCCTTCAAATACTTACTCCATACTAGAAACACTCAGTATATCCTGACAAATTGCAGAGCTCTACAACATCGTAGCCCACCATGGTCACATTTAATGGGCCTAAAACATTTTTCATTTTATAAAATCCTTGACTTAGGTCTAACTTATCCTTCAAATACTTACTCCCCACTAGAAACACTCAGCATATCCTGGCAAATTGCAGAGCTCTACAACATCGTAGCCCACCATAATCGCATTTAATAGGCCTAAAATACTTTTCATTTTATAATATCCTTAGCTTAGGTCTAACTTATCCTTCAAATACTTACTCCATACTAGAAACACTCAGTATATCCTGACAAATTGCAGAGCTCTACAACATCGTAGCCCACCATGGTCACATTTAATGGGCCTAAAACATTTTTCATTTTACAACATCCTTAGCTAAGGTCTGACTTATCCTTCAAATATTTACTCTCTACTAGAAACACTCAGCATATCCTGGCAAATTGCAGAGCTCTACAACATTGTAGCCCACCTTAGTCACATAAAATAGGCCTAAAGGACTTTTTAAGATAGTGATAGCTCCTGAAATCCCAGCATAGGATTGATCGTAAAGTCCAAGTAGCACTGTACAAGAACTATTTTGCAATTAGTCTTATGGGTGGAATCAGTAAGATCGGTCAAACACCAACTTCAGTCGATGAGCCTTAATATAGCAGCTGCAGTCAAGCTATTACTCATTTCCAATAAGAGAAGTTTAGAACATCAACAAGGGGATGATTCAAATCGCTTCCAAGGATTTTTTGACTCAATTTTATGGCATACATTTCGGATTAATTCGCTGAATCCTGAGCAAGACCCGCCCATGCGCACTGGATTTAGTTTTACTTTGCTGTTCTACCAGACGATTCTGTCCAGATTTCTGTCTGATTCCGGTTAGGACAGTGACCTCCAGTCTGCATTAGGAAAGGGTCACAAACCGAACTCCGATTTCATACAAATTGCAATATTACAAATTGAATTTTTTGCTGTCTATCGATTTGTTGCTGTCTCAGTACTGGATGCCTGTAAAAGTTTGATGCTGCCGATCCTTTCAAATGTTTCAAACTGCTGTGGTAAACTTGGTCTAATTCACTTAATAGTAGCGGGTGTTCGAGTAGTTGTACCATTTACCGGCTACTCACCACCACCTTCGTGGAATACACTGCGCATGCCAGAAAGCGAGTCCTCCAAATCCATTCTCTTCCATACTGACATTGATGATAGCTTGCCCCTCCATTAGGAAAGCATCATACGAATATCCTGTTGATTGCAAGATTGATCTTGTATAATTCATGACGATTGGTGAATAAGCATGAGCCTGAAAGAACAAATTGAAAAGCTGCAAAATCCAGCACCTCTGTTTGATCCTGAAGAAGACTACTGGAACGAGAGTTCAGCAGCCAAGTTGTGCCATGCAAGTGATCCCAGTGGTGATCACGATGGCAACGGCGATGAAGGATTAGCAGCTAGCAGATTGATCAAATCGAAAAAAGGACCGGGCAATGTTGCTTTTCTTGACCAGATCGATAAAAAGTATCAAGGAAGTACTGTCAGTAGGAATGATATTCATCGGCAAAGGGAAGAGTATACAGACGAAGATGAGGAATCGCTAAGTGAGAGTGAGCAAGATTCTGAATTACAGTCCAGCCTGGATGGCGATAGCGATCAAGACTTGAGTCAAAGTGGTAATTCAAATATCGACTGTGCACTAGTGTGTAGTTGTAAACTTGACGTTAATAGTAAGAACATAGTAGTATTACACTTAATTGGTAATCATGCGATCTTACGTATATGCTTATTTTACCTATGTCGTACGTGGAACATGAATAGTAATGACTCCAGTTTGCAACATAAACTACTAATCTTTAAAATGTCAGCAATTTACAGAGCTGAACGTGTTTTACAATCCCTCATACACATAGACTGTTAATTAAATAATGAGTATACTCCATAATTCTACTTTTATCAGTTAGTATGCTTGAATCAAGTTGATATATGAATTTAAAGCCTTACAATTACCTCCTCTTATACTGTATGGAATGACTGCAAATGGATGCGCCATACTAACCATATCAATATGATAATTAATTCAGATGATGAAAGTAATGAGCTGATGAATTTACAAACTGCGAACGATGATCAAGATGAAGACTCTGCACAGGGTGCTAGTGAAGAAGATGAAAATGTAAGCGAAAGGGGTGATGAGGAGGCAGTAGATACGTCAGAAGAAGATGACGATGAGATACAAAATTTTACTCAGGGAGATGCTGATGGAGAGATCGAAAAGGGGGAAGCGACCAAGGCTCAGCTACGTAAGAATACTAATGTAGTTGCATTTGCGATGCTTCCAGTGCTAATTGAAAGTGGTGTACTGAAATAATTTTTCCTTATGCTATTATCAAATTTTCATCGATAGAATTATGGGATTGTTTCATGGATTGGCGAATTCAGATGCAATCAGTAGTACAAGTAGCCAATCAGTTACCACAATTTCATATACATTCCAATTTTATTGAGTGTGGTGGTAAAACATTCCAAACAGCATTGCATAAATGCAAGTCGTCAGTTGCAAGCCTACTAAGCGAGTTGTTGGTGCTACAAGAACAGTTAATGCAGCAGTATCCAGAAACCCGACAGCTGCTATTAAACTCTTCTAACAAGGTATGAAAACAGTGTTACGAAATGACACTGTCAAGTTTTAGAGTTTTCCTAGATCATATCAAGTATTGCTCCATTTGCATGTAGCTCATTGAAGAGTTGTTACAATTTTTTAACGCTGTTTAGGCGCTTGCTGAGTCGGGAGACGTTAAAGATAGTGATGATGACGATGAAATTCCTAGTGATGATGAAACCGTTCATGGGATTAAAAGCGTTGCTAAAAATTCTGAAGAATGTTCTTCGAGTGAAATGAAGGAAGAAGAATCCGATAGTGACAACTCGATAAAAGAAGATAAACGAAAATCCAGAAAGAGGAGATTTCAGGTATTGAATCTTTTAAGGCAATTTTAACCTTGATACCTTTGGTGGGGTCAGGTCCTCTTGGTTACCCTAACTTTAATTTATACTCGGTTGCTTCTGACAATGTATTGATTCGTCTAACTCAATTTTTTGTGGGTATTCATGCGATAATTTTATTATAGGGAAATTACGATGAAGTAATAGATAAAAGAGCTTCGATATTAAATAAATTTAGAGGTACTGCTATTAAAAAATGGAGCGATAGAACTCAAATCGCTTTTGGGAAATTGAATAGCAAGGTGTGACAATCTAATGTAATTGTAATGAGCTAAATCTTGTGATAATGATAATAACCTTAATATGTTACTCTTCATTTATTGTATAGAAATTTAGTGATCTTGATCAGTCAGTTCCGCAGCAAATTCAAAAGGTTGGAATAAGGGTTATTACTAGGATTCTTTGTGTAGTACCTGAGTCACAAGACTTTAAACGTCGCTCAAACTTAAATGTTATTTAAGCAAATAGTTAACAATAAAATTATTCATGTTGTATACGTAGATATTGTCTGATAAAGAAAGACTTATTAAACGGACTCAGTTAAGGCGCATACCAATTCGAGCTTTAGGAAATCTTGAGAACAATGATTCCCGGGTATTGAAAAAGTTTTAAAATTATTTTGGTTTCTTTTCCTGTCAGCTATTTTAATATGTGATACAAAATTACAGGATAAAGATGCTCGTGATTCCCATTTAAAAGATTACGATCCAGAAATATTTGATGATAGTGATTTTTACCATCAAGTAAGAATGTAGATAGTACTTAATTCTTGAAATCATAACTTAATCGATCAATTTCTCAGGTAATTGTTAGTATGCTCTTTCGCAGCTTTTACGAGAACTTATTGAATACAAGTCCACATTTAATAAAGATTCGGATCCACTAGCAATGGGAAGGTAATTTTAAACTACAATCCACACGGGGTTTTTTTATTAATAAATCAACTTCTTAAGTCGAATGATATATGTTGCTACATGTTTATTTTTAAATTTGCGTAAATGAATTCCTCTGTTGGACTTTAGGCAATGGTTACAATTTCAACAGCTAAGAAGTAAAGTAAAGCGTAAAGTGGATACCAAAGCTAGCAAAGGCAGAAAATTAAGGTTAAATAAGACTTGGCTGCTTGATATATTGATGTGGACATGATTAAATTGTTAATTTTTGTTTTGTTCATATTACGATTGGCATATGTTCATTTAGATATGATGTTCACGATAAGTTGATAAGTTTCGCGGCGCCAATGAGGCAAGGAACGTGGACAGACACAGCTAGGTAATTTGATCGTTTCTACACATTTTGCATCATGTTATGTAGTATGCTAAATGGAAAACATAACGTACAAACTACTTCTATGATTGTATACTAATTGAGTAAGTAATATTACTGTTCATTTACGCAGGAATAATCTGTGCGCTAGCTTGTTTGGTAAACAAGGTACAAAGCATAAATCAGCTTCAAATGACTTGGATGGTGATATTGTTCTCTTTAGATAAAATATTTATTAAAGTAACAAAACTTTTTTATCGCTATCATGAATATGATCAAATTGTTGGATATATTACAAATGACCTCATGTAATTTATATAACATATTGTTGAAGTATACCGTCAGTTGTTGTAAACGATATCCGGCTTTAAGAAAAGATTTAAATTAATGTAACATCAACACAGAATAAGAAAATATCTATGTACAGTAAAATTAAGTCGAAACTAGATACATATTAATGAATGAATTAAGAAAATAGAACCTTGGATCATATAATTTTCTCAAATCTATGTATAGAATATGGAGTGATGGCCATTGCGGTAACTACTCCTCATTCATTGTTATGTTTGACTATCAATAACGTAATTGCGTATTAAATTAGTGCCATTAAAGTTAGAATAATTCTAGGTTGGCTTTTAAAGGGAATCAATCAAGATATTCAGCAGTGTCTATCCGTGGTGGGATATTTTTCTTTTAATTCTTTCTTAAATTTCCGGAATAAATCTCGATTGCGGGCATTTTGTGAATCTTTGTTGCTATGAAAACTATGTGGTGTTTTCAGTCCTTGATGGACAACAAACGCATTATTCAATATTACATAATTGTAACCAGCAAGGTGCAGTTCGCAAGCCTGGCTGATTCTGTTAAATCCGTACTATAATTCAGGAAAGATGTATTAAAATTGCAAGATGTTAAATTTTGCAGCAAAATTATACATGACATTGCTATGACACATGAAATCACTTTTAGAATGACCTGCTTGAAGCGTTCATCAAAAGAAGGGGATTTCGAATCAATAATGTAAAACGGCTCCCATGGATCTTTCCAGTTTAAGGTATATGCAGGACCAAGGACACCCTTGTTACTATTCGCTCTTAAAAATAGAAGACATATAAAATATCTTGATTATGGCTGGCTAAATAATTTAAGGTACATAAGAGTAACTGACACGTTAATCGCTCGGTGAACTAATGTATTTGTAATCACGATTAGCAGACAACGCACATTACTTACTTCCACCATCGATCATAATTCAATGGTCTTTGACATTTCTCGCACACTTCGTGATAAAACGGTCTAGCTGCAGCTTCTCGTAAAGCTGCTTTGTTTTTAGGTATATCGCGCTTTTCGTTTATTTCAAATGCGGGAACGACATAAGCGTTCTTTTCTATCGATGTGCGTTATATTGTATTAGTAATTGGGATTAGACAATTAAAATGTTGATGAGTAACCTGAAACTCAAAAGATGCTGTAGAATTGTACTCCAGGTAGTATGTTGATTGATTTGCATATTAGTAATTGTAATTCATTAAGTACAATCCAGTATAACTAATTAATGTACTGTACTTACCAATGCTATCAAATAACTTCTTTTCTTCCAAAAAGTTGATGAGCTCATGATATAGTCCTTTGTTAGGAACCATGTCAATATCAATAACAAATACGTAGGTAGATTTGGCAAAATCTCTGCCAATATTTCGCAATAAATTACTTGGATAGGGAATCTAAGAATCAAGAACGATAAAGTAGAACTTATAGCGACGTAGTCAGCTATTGAAAGTTTTGTGAATTTTTTGCACATATCTTGTTGCTCTTACATAGCCATCGTCATAACTACTATGGGACGATAACGCTTTAATTCGATTCGGTATAACTTCGGGGCAAAAGTTTGCATATTCCATTTCTCTCTCGGTGAATAGTTCGCCAGTCCCTCCGTCAAAAGGTGGTAATAGAGCTGTTGGGTACACAAGATGAAATGTTGCATAGTCACGAATATATGTGCTGCATTGACGTAAGCCATCAATAGCGAATCTGGTCATCCTAGCGTCATTTCCAGGAGCAAAAACAACTACAGTAGAATAGGATGGAAAATATTAGTGGGCTCTAGCTCTTCAATTAGGTCTATTAGTACAGCTGCTGTTGAAGTCAAGACGACCTTGTATAAGTTATAGTAGATTGTGTTTCACTGCAAAAAGAAAAAGGTATTAACTAGTGCTAATTTACTACAGCAGCTAGTGCAGCATATACTATCCATTTTTACCGATAGACATTGGTCCGTTCCATCTTTCGGCAAGAGGCAGCAGAAGGTGTAACTTATTGACAGTACAATGTGCCACCAGGGTAACATCTTTCGTAGTTTCACCAGGTACTACTTCAGAAGCAATCCTGAACTCTTGGTGAATTTTATAGCTGTTTGATTGATCATCGGGGAGGCTGAGATACAACATTTCCAGATGCTATAATCCAGTCGTTCAACATGTGAAGGGAATATTTAGAAAAGTTTTGAGTAAGAATTTGACAAAAGACTAGCAGAAAAGTGTTCATCTACTTGATGTAACTAGTGAAGAATGTTACGGACTGTTGCACTTGACTGTAGTAATGTAGAATACGTTTAGTTGAACTTAAATGGATTGAATTGCTGTATTCTAACCCATCCAGTATTCAATATCAAGAGTAGTATTGCTTCCAATGACTAGCAACAACGTTGACACTGGCGTAGTAGACAGACTAAACTTTCATGTATTGCTATTCCATCTTGCATGAAATAGAACAAGATATTGTGCATTTATCAGTACTTGTATGACTATGGAATGATTATGATCGGCTAGATCGTTTTACAGTCGATTTTGATGATGTTATTTGAAAAGTAAAGAGTGGATCGAGCAGCTACAATCATGTTTGAAATAGCCACTCGTTTACGATGAAGAGTGATTGACTCGTCTGTTTGCTACTCTACTTATTACAGCTTACCACACTTCTCCTATGCTTCATTAATTCTTCTTGCTCAGGCAGTCTCTTCAAATCCTCATTTTTGATATGCCTCCTGATGAAAAAGTAATTGATGACTGCTATCGCGCAAATGAATAAAAATAATCTTCGACGAATAGTCGATGTTGAAATCATGGCTAATTGTATGTGATGGCAAGGAATAATATCACGTATAAAATCACTTGGTCAAGGCGATGATACAATCTACTGCACTGTGGTGGCAAGCAAGTCAATAAAAATGGATTGATAATGGATGTCTAAACGTTTCCTCATAAATGACCAAATGACTTGATGATAGACGTCGATTTGGCTGTCCTTGAATTGCAACCAAGTTGAAAACGTGATGAAAGTGAGAAAAAAAAAGCCACTACAATGACTCTATGGATCAATTCCGGTAGTCCATGGATGTCCTGGTAGACATTACTGATTTCAAACGGTTGGATACGGACTATTTCTATTTCTACTAGCAAATCATCTAATCAACAGAGCGCAAGTTGCAATGTGGCAGATCTTGGATGGCGATATTCAACTCTCTCGCATCGATATGTTGCAGCCAGGGACTTGGAAGACTCCTGCTATTCGCCTTTCAACTTGCTGTATACAGTACAGTACTGTCCTGTACACAGGAATGGGTACCAACTTTTTAGGCAATCGAGTACTTGAGTCAATAAACTATTGCAATGGACGGCAGTACAACTATTGAAATGGACAATACTACAACTTGCAATTTATAGTTGTACACTACCATGAGATTTGCTTTCTAGGATCTATTTGAATAGTAAAAAGGACAAGAAGCACGCTTAAAAAAGACCCATCGTGATGAACCTTCCTATACTGATATCGATCTACACTGTCCATCTTAAAACCATGCATTTGCGAACCATTTTGTACAAATTGAAGCCAAAATTGCAATATCCAGATAGTAATTGGTAGCGTTTGAACGGATGCATTTTAGCATACTGTACAGTTTGATCCTTTTCCCTACTACATTGATTTATACTTGATCAGGCCTATGTGCTGAAATTATTGTAATATCGCCTGCATTGGTAGAATTTTATACTTCTTTAGTACCACCAAATTCGAGGTGGGCAAATGGAAGACAGTGTAATAAAGTATTCTAAGTGGATGATATAGTTAGTAATGTCTACCGTAGGTGTTGTGCTCAACATGGGATCGATATTCTCGTTCGAGGCTTAAGTATTCAATAGAGCTAGCTTAGTAATTGGAATCTTTTTGAAGAGGAGTGCTACAGTGCTCACACTAGAGCTCCACATGAAAGATGGAAACTATCCTGCATTGAAGATGCTAATACTGAAGTGTGTAGTAAGTAAGTAAGGTGCTAAGACTGTAAACGCCGAAAAGTATAGAAGCGAGTAGTTTAGTATAGTCAGAGAGTTCTTTCTCGTTCGAGGTCCTCAGCGAATCGATTACGTTGTACCTTCGTCAACGAGGATTTGTTCAATAAATCTTAATTTTCCAAAGTTTGGAAGATTCTTCATCGATCAACCTCACAGTAACATATGTACAGTGCAATATAGTATACTATGCCATTTGTAATAGTTTATCGCCGAAATGTACCACGCGGATATTCATTCACATCTATAAACTCTTTTATAAAGCAATCGATTTATTATCGTGAGTATGTTAGCTACTGCTATTGATTTGAAATCTACGTCAAGAACTGTTTGAGGCTAATTACCGAATTACATCCGTTTTTCCAGATTGTATAAATATTTGATTCGAAATAAATTCATGAATAAATCTAAAATATTGCCCTAAATTGTATCATATTAAAAACCATGTTTCTCATATTATGAAGTATTGCGGTAGCAATTTGGATAAATACCGAGGCTACCGCTTGTATTTTACCATGATGATGCTCAAAAATATATTCAAGGAATAATCTAGACGTTCCTGAAAGAAAGTGCTATGCTATTCACTTACAAGCACTTTAATTTACGTAACCCAAGGAAGGTCTTATTATTTATGATTGCAATGTCATTTGATGATAAGTATCTAAAATTAGAGACAATAAATGTTAGAAAAAATTATGACTTTACTCAATAATTTGAGAAATATATTAATGATATGTTGTTTATCGCAATCTTTACTAGAGAGATCTACTGACATATGCAAACACAAGAGAGAATATGAGCATCTTTAAAGTATTAGCGATGGCTCAATTTAAATGTATATGCAATACGTTTATTTCTGCCACTTGCTTACAGTACATAGTAGTTTGCAATGACAGTAGTAATCTATTTGAGATTATAATCGTAAGATGAAATAAAGCTCACAAGTTTCCTAAAATGCTTGATTATACTTAATAAATTTATTGAAACTGATACATATATATACTAGACACTGAAAGATGGAACGATGAAACAGTGCGCTCATATTTAAACAAACGTAAGGCCGAAGCTGATAGCCAAATAAAATTCTGTTTTTAAGATATACAGTACATAAATACGATATTTAGCTTTAAAGAAGAATATTATAATGAAGTATTCGATTTTGCATGACTAAGATGGATTTATTCTAGAGTTTGTAGTCTAATTTCCTTTTAATTTTAGCTGCTTTCAATCGCCATTATGCTAGGACAGAGAAAAATGAATTTTCTCCGATTAATAAACTAATAGTGAAAAAACATAGCACGTAAGGTTAAAAGCGCGCTTGAACGTTTGGTGTAACATTGTGGTTTGGTTCTATTTTACTAACTCAAATCTAAATTTATAGATTGTCAATCTATAGAATTAAAAAAACCCATTTATGATATATTTCACCATCGTAAGAGGCATTGAAATGCCGATTATATATCCCAAATATCTATCCAATTCTTTCCATCGATGTCATACGGTTGCTACGAAGTAACTTTTACATGGATATGGTAACTTAATTTCTATGAAATAATTTATCTAGGAATGTGTTTAAATTAATTTTTCTATGACATATTACATGTTAATCGATAACTGTATACTTGTATAACATTATCTAAACACTGGTAACTAATGTTATTGCAATTGTAGTATAGATTGACTAATTATTAATAAAGTTTGAGTCGATTTTTGTCTAAGTGAGATTAGAGCTGTTACTATCCGTCGTGTGGATAGGAGATCGTCTGCACTTAGAATCATATTGTAGGTAAACGCTGGAAAGATAAATTCAATAGTAGGTTATAGTGTTACTATTTGTGATGGTTACATTTTTCTAACGTTAGAAATTAAATATTGAAAGTTTAAATTACGAATTTACAGCTGACTCTGTAAGCTAAGCTAATAGCACGCATTGGAATATGCTAAACAGGAAATTTTGTAGTGTGTATCATTTTACTCAAAATAAGATGAGCCAAATAAATGTGAATTGAAAGACTGATCTAAATAACATATCCATCTACTGTAATGGAGATAATTTTTAAAATAATATATAATGATGTCTTATAATTGTTCTAAATTTTTAAGGTTCTTAAATGCACCGTCACAAATGGCTTTAATTCGATTTTCGTTCATATATCTATAAAATTTAGATTTCAGAATTTTCTCAACATGAATAGAAAAGTCCTAATCGATACAGTGAAATTGGAACATAACAAATCACATTAAGTCTCAAAGAAAAATTACTCAGTAAATTAGCCTCAAGCTTAATCGCACACCTTCTAAAGTACAGCTATATATTTTCAGTTTTCAGTACAGCCCTGACGATATACAAATACTAATTTCCGTTTTAGATTGAGCCAATATCAGCTCCCAGTATGCATCCATAAGCAAAGTTTCTTTATTAGATATGTTCTATAATGCGAGATATATTGTCGCAGCTAGATCAAAGCTTGGAAAGCATCCGAACTGAAATTGTCAACAGTGATACATACCATTTGAGCTGCAATTATGATTTCTGAATATCAATATAGGCTACGGAAATTTACATATAGTAGTAGCTGCATTTCTCATAACGTAATATTTTTAATTTAAATATAAGGAATTTAAAATTTGATTTAAAATTACGCTTAAGCTCTCTTTGACAGTAAATATGTTGGAATATTCTTACAGGATTGAAATGGCTGGCAATAAAGAGAATACTTCACTGTCAATATGGCTGATAAATGTCTTTGCAACTTCTCTGGAATAAAGATGCAATATCAATTTAAGCTAATAAGTAAAATTACGATCCCTGGCAAATAACATTGCTATTATTAGTTCGTAAACACAAAATTACTTGGAAAACCTACATTGAAAACCTCGATTAGCAATGTTATTGTACCTTCTGGATAATAATTATAAGCTATTACAAGATGACATGATGTATTTATATTCTTATACAATTGATTCAGTAGGTTCAGTCGTCGAAAAGTATTGATTGAGAATCTTCTAATGCTGTTTTCCGAAGGATATCTAATATTATACAAAAATATCATGCTATTAATATAGCCATGGTTCATGATTAATAAAGTAATTGCTTGCAAAAACTTTCTGTTTCTAGATATATCACAGTGAAATAAATTTTACAGGAAAGAAATTTTGGAAAAAATTTTAGAATATCGGTAGGTATTTCTTGAATCGGATTTCCCCATAATTTTCTACCAAGTATATAATTTTATTATGAGACAAATAATTTTTCGAGATATTGATGTAAAAAACTGACATTCTTTAAACGATATTTATATACCTAAACATGGTGAACCATAACTATGAGTATATGATAAAATTAATAATTACAAAACTTACGATATTTTTAGCTCTGTTAGACCATAGAATGTTTCGGCATAGATATATCGGATTTTGTTTTGATTTAAATCTCTGTTAATCAGAAAAATTTAGTTTAACTATACTTTTGAAATAATACTTAGTAAGAATGTTAAGGTGATATAAATTAGAAAAGACTTCGGTAGTTAACGGACAAAAAGACAAGTTTTCTCAAGTTTGCAAAAGTGTCATTTTTGTCATTTGTGCATTGTGCATTGACCTAAGAAGAAATACATCAGATATCTTGAAATTTGATAAAAAATATTTTAAAATGATGTAAAAGTATTGAATTTAGATCTGTGTAATTTAGTAGTTCGTAATATATATATGTGGCTTCTGTCAACTAAGCCATTTCCTAATGAACACAAAGGATATCTTGAAGGCTGCTCCTGAGTCAAAACTACTTGTAATCAGCCAGTTATACAAAGCATAGGTAGATTAAACTCCAATGTTGTATTCTATGTTTTTAAGTTTACCGATGAGCGGATAAATATTCCTAGTGACTAAACTTAAATATCTGGCATAACTATCAAGCATCTATGCTTAGGTGGCCACAATTATAATTTTACGGTAACTGCTTAGGCTGGTATTAATATTTATATCCAATTTTCCAATAACGTTATCATCGCTTTGATGCTCACTTAATTTGAAAACCATGGCATCTTAGTGAATGGTTAAAAAGTAGGATAAGGATCAGCTGAAGATTATTTATAAGTCTAAAGCACTTATTTATGAACTTAAACACTGCGTTTATTATTTCATCAGCGCGAAGCGTAGATTTTTAATTACATTAACTTGTAATAGTTCATAATCTTTAACGGTATGACCGATTCAATTAGATATTACCATATCGCCCCCAAAATTGTAAATTTACTTGAAATAAAGCATTATATAGAAGAGTTAGGAAATCATATCTTAGTATAGGGACCTATAGTGCAAGCACTAAAGAACTTTGTTAGCAATTTTAGTGCCTTAACTCTGGTTTGATTTACTCAGATTGCTTATATTTTTAGAGGTTTCGCTAAAGATACTTGTATTGATAGCTACAAGTCTATGTAGTACTATTTAAATAATGGAACTTAATAATCAAGCAGGTAAAGTAGTTTCATGGTTTAATTAGAGTAGAACTGCTAAAATCAAAATCTCCTAACAAGAAAGATTGCCAGTATTTTGGAATAATACGGAAGGAAAACTTCAAAGTTTATAACTATCATAGTTTATTTATAAAATATATCATTAATTACAATTATCTTCTAAGTATAAGGTATGCTGAATAGGTTTATTTATTCGTTTCATATTTTGCTTTCGTTAGCCGCGATGTTTAAACTTAAGTCATTTTTATCTTTTATCTTCAACATTCTAAGCTACTTAATTAAATATTATGTTCGTACTGTAAAATTAAGCAAACTATAGCTGGAGCTAACTCCTTGCTACCCGCAGATATCGCATTTCAGATAGCTGTTCAGATGTTACATTTTCCAAATCAGCAATTAAGGAATATCCGATGTGGCTAGTAGCAAAATTAAAGATTGCCATTTTCAAATTAGCAAGTATATATGCTGACGCTTTAACAATCATTTTAGTTACTATAGCAACATTTTCCCCGTAGGCGGTAGGCCACTCCTTGCTGCTGTACCGAAAGAATGTTCTTCCTCATGCAGTACTTTGCAAGTAGCACTAACAGTAAGTACAACACAGCTAGTGAGTTAGCAGTTTGTACTTGCTGATATGCATCAGTAAAATAATAGTATTTGAAGGCGCAGATCAGTGATCAGCGGCTATACACTATACAGTTTTCTACAGGTAGAAAGGATTTGTCGAATAGAGGTTTGTGACATCTTCAATTTATTTGATTACTTTGCTCATCTTTGGAATAAGTGGCGTGAAGTCAAATTGATAGAATTAAACCTATATCTTAACAAGTTGAGTGACCAGTAGCCGATTTTAAACAAGAATCGATAAATAGCCCGTCTATTTCGACATCTATCATATTATATTAGCATTTATATTTGAAAACGTCCTTTATAGACATCCAAACGATGTGAACCAAAGCCAACTAACGCTACCTACTGTCTCATCATGAACAATCGTCTATGTAATTAGCATTAACTTGTGGTTGTCTATCAGAATAGAAAAATTATAATTTGATTCTTATTATGGGCATGCTGCTCGTTTAAATCGTGTTTTGTTAAATTAATTTTATCTACTAAGTGGATGAATTTTGGTTAAAATAATTCTCCAATAGTGTTGTATTCTTAAGCTATCATCTACGATCACTACTTGGTTGTAGAGTATTCTTTCAATTAGATTCTTAGGTGATGCAATAAGGAATGTACGTTGCTGATAATTTCTGATAATTAAAAATTTTTTAACTTCTATATTTGAAAGTAACTAGTAGAAAGAATTATACCGGCATAATTGAATCATCGCGTAAAGACTTAATATCAATCCGCGAATAAGCAATCGATCGCTATCACATAACTTAGCTTGAAATTTTTTTGTTTATTTTAACTTGTCCTTGGTGTCAAAAACTAACATCATTTTGATGCTTGATACTGTTGAATCAGCATAACATTTCCATTAATCGAAATTGGTAAAGGAAAGATGGCTGATGATCAGTCTACTCATTTTGTGATACCTCCTAATATACAAACGTTGTACAAAAAGGGCAAGGAATGCAAGACTGCTTGCAATTTTGTGGAGGAATTGTCTTGCTATACACAAGCTCTAGAAGTGATTCAAATGCTATCTAACCCTCATATCGTTATTAAACGACTTCGATGCGACATTTATCTTGATATTTGTCTCATTCATACCTTACGATATGAATGGACGGAAGCTAATAAATGGAAAGAAAAGGGGCAACATCTGGCTGATAAGCTTCAAGACGAAGTGAGAATAGCTAAATGTTTAGACATGCAGTGTGAGATTAAAAGAATGCAACTAAATTTCAATGGAGCACTAGAAGACTGTAACAAATCGTTGGAAATGAAAACAAAATACTTAAAAGAAGGCGATGTGTGTTTTGCTGATAATTATCATCAACTTGGGCGCATCTGTATTGACCAGCAAAATTATAAAAAGGCTCTTGAAATGTTAGACAAATCACTTAAAATTCGATTGTTAGTCCTTGGTCCGAATCACTCTGATGTCGCACGCATATATTACAGCATAGCCGTTGTCTACTCCTATCAGCTTAAAAATGATGATGCTCTTTCTATGTTTGACAAGTCACTAGTAATTCAATTGTCAGTTCTTAATGGAAATCATCCCGATATTGCTAACACATATAACAGCATTGGTCTTATATATTGTTATCAAGGCAAATATGACGAGGCTCATTCTGCGTATGATAAATCCCTGAAAATTCGACTGTCAGTTCTTGGTGACAATCATCCCGACGTTGCCCAGTTGTACAACAATATTGGATTTACCTATCATCAACAAGGCGAATATGACAAGGCTCTGGAGATGTTCGATAAGTCACTCAATATTGCACTACCAATCTACGGCGAAGGTCATCCAGAAGTTAGATTGACGAGAAATAATATAAGAAGAGCTACGATGTTTTCGTTACCTACGTCAGCGGTAAAAAGCATTTTTCATGGCGTAGTTAAGCTATTTAAACGAGATCAAACCAGCAACGATTCAAAGCCAGCAAACAGTGATAATGCAATCAGTGATCCTAGTTGTGATATTAGCTATCAAGTCAAAGGTAAATCTACAATTAAATTTCAAAACGGTAATATACAAGACCCTGATAAATACTGCTTACATCATGACAAATATTTTCCATTTTGTATCATATAGATTCACAAGAAATGAAATATTACAATGCATATATCAAAGTATTAAATCTATGTGATGGACATAATAATTTGATACGCGGTATATTTATTGGCCCTCGCGGTGTTGGTAAATCATCTATTAGGAAAGTTTTTTCTCAACAAAATTTGATCGGAAATGCATCTCCTACGCAGGTGGTTGAGAATACTGGTATTTTGGTAAATACTGAAGATTATCGTCTTAATTATTTAGAGAATCGTGATTGGACTAAGATATTAGATGATAAAGTGAAGGCAGCCATAAAACAATTAGCCGAAACAAGCATGGATAATCAAGATAAATTCAATCAGCAAATAGGTCAATTCGCTACCACAGATAATTTATCAGAGACAAATCCACCAGGAGGCAATACACCATTTGTTCTAGTCAGAAGTAATTTGCAAGAAGTAGAGATTCCATCAAAAGAAACTGAAATCGAATCGGAATCTAAGCTTAGCTTACGTAAATATTACTTGTCGTCCAATTTCGACCAAATGGCTGATGAACGTCATAATAATCAATTTGTCAAGCTATGGGATTTCGGTGGTCATCCGATCTATCATGTTACTCATTATCCATTCATCTCAGCTAATAGCATTTATATTCTTGTATTTGATATCACTCAAGAACTTAATAACAAAGTAAAGATAAGAAAGGGTGAATTATCCACTGGCAATATGACTTATTTACAGGCTATGCAAGAATGGCTTAAATCAATCATAGGTTGCTACAGAAGCCAAAGTACAATTACTGTAAAGATCAATGATAAAGATAAATCATATCAATTGCCTATTATTATTATGGTAGCTTCTCATGGCGATTGTATTACAGATAACAAAAAGCAAACTTCTCGATTTAATAAATTTGTATCTGGATTGATGTCATCTATGCCCGCTTATGCCAGAAATATCTATTCTTCTGGCATTATTTTCAATTGTAATCCTGATCATACTAGTGAATCTACAAAAGTTCAGCGTCAACAATGTTGTCATCGTTTACTTTCTATTATTAAGACGTTTATACGACAATTGCCGTTTATGTCTAATCCTATTCCTATTCGATGGTATATTATGGCTGCACTATTAAAAAAATCTATTCATAATGAAGCCACATCTTCTGATAATAATGAAATTAGAAATTCTCAGGTGCGTAATATTATGACAATGAAGCAAATGGAAACCTTAGCTCAGGAGTACGGATTATTTGAAAGCCGTGAAAAAATGATAGCAATGCTTAAGTATCTACATGATTTAGGAGAAGTAATATACTGTGATAATGTGCGCAGCGAAGCAATTATTATAACAAACGTCGATTGGTTATTAAATATATTTCGTTCAATCATTCCAATACAAGTGAATAATTTTACGCAGGAAGACATACCAATGAAACAGGAATACGATATAGCCTGTCTAACAGGAAGGCTGTCAAGAAGATACATCGATGAAGCTATTCTTAAATTTGATTTAGATGAAAATAATACGAGAACTATATTGGAACTAATGGAAGCTTATGATATTCTATGCACAATCAGAAGTGAACTGGATGAGAATGGAACAGGATCTCAATATTTTGTTCCATATCTATTGCAACAAGATGTTGCGCCATTTGATTTATCGACATATCATGTATCAGATTGGCTTTATATTGGCTACAAGCAGGAAGATATTCCTTATCTTCCAGATGGAATATATTATTGTCTGTTATCATCTTGTTTAAGGGAATGGAATAATACGGACGTAGAAGTATATTATCAATGTGCCAAGTATTATCTAGTAAATGATAATTATTATCTTATAGTTAAGAAAGAGAAATCTCACATTGGTTTGCAGTATTGCTATCAGAAAAGCGATCAGCCTGCGATTTATAATTCTGTTATCGACAAAGTCAAAAATTCTATATTTGTGGAACGGACGCATAATATTGTAAAGAATAAACTAATTGCCATTATGAAAATGAGGATGATGAAGTTTCAGGAAGAGCATTGTCGATTTTACGTCAAATGTAGTAAATGTAGTGAACAGATACCCATAGTCAAAGAATACAAAAAAGAAGATGAAAATTTGATTCGATGCCAACATTGTAAAAACGTACTTTCTAGTCAATCTCTGAACGATTGGATAATTTATAAGGAAGAGCTATGGAACGGTAAGGATGTGAAAGCAATTCTTGGCTTGATTGTTGTTGCTATCATTATTTCCGTCAAAATAGTGTGTTTTGACAAAATTTCTGCATTAGTATTCTTTAAGCTAAATTTTCAATAATTATGATTGGAGTTTCTATTCTATTCAACCATTATCTAAATCTCATCTTAGAATACCGTATAGTAAAAGCATTGATATAATAAAGCAGAATGATTTGCTAAAACAGTTAACGAGACGAGAATGCATGCTATCTTTTAGGTAAATTTGCATATTACTCTACCTTGGCATAATATTCAACAATTAGTTAGCTGCAATAATATTTTCTGATTTTGTATATTTTTGTTACTGAAAATGTATTATGGATTGCAATATTTCAAAATGAATACTTCATCTACTGCATTTCATTTGTGTAGTAAATAGAAACGGCTGGATTTTATTTATCGCTGCTTCCTATAGTATTTTGTTTTTTAACGTTAGTACACGATAAGTCATTAATATTGAACTGTTTAATAGCCAATTAGTTTCATCGTCTTATGCAGCGTATAGAAATTAATATAGATAGCATTCCCTGCGTATAAAAACACCTAAAAGGATAAAGGGAGAAAACTATCTTCGTAAACTCTTTAGAGAAACATGTCATATATTTCACTTGCATGGCTGCAAATCTATCATCTATTTTAAAATAATTACGATAGGGCTACTAATTGATTATTCCTATTTTCACCTCATTTCTTTAGAGAAAAAGATATATAGAGAAGATAAAGGTGAGCCTCCACTGAATTGATATCACACAAGTACTACCAAAGCGTAAAAAGCCAAATTCTGTTCAGTAAAATGTGTTTTGTAATAGTCTTCTTTGAATTAAAGTATATTTTTCAATAAGTTCTCACACTCTGTATTTTTAAAGAGAATAGCTTGCAGTTAGTATAACAACATTGAGTTAAGTAAATCACACTATATTACAATCATTTAAGCCAAAAGAGTACGTACTTTTAACGTTTAACGATGTTATAATACTTTATAAAAATGTTGAGCGCTTGCATGCATAGTAGCGAATGAGATTATACTTTGTTTCTTTAATGGCTGATGATACTGTATCTTTGTAATGTCGATTCAACTCTAGAACAAGAATCAGACGAAACTGAGAAACTCAATGCTAGTTGTGCACCCGGAATTCGATTTGAAGTCTCTGTCGATTCTAATAAAACTGTTGAGATAGAAATGGACGAACCCAATTCTTGTAAGTTGTACTGTGGCTAACATTTTTTTACTATTTTAAGTGACAATACAGTAAAATCTATCGCATACTACAATAGCAGCGACTTACCTGATTTGTAAGATGGAGTCATTTAATTGGTTTGTATAGCAAGCGCTTTCAACAATTGCAACTTAGAAAGAGGAATATTCTTGATTTAGTGTAGAGAGAATCGTTCATTCTTGCTACATTCAATTTTCTATTAACTGTTTCATATGATGTACCGTAAGTAGCCGCTGATCCTATTTTTGCAAATAAAATAAAATTATTGTAGCTGCCAAGGAGTATAACAGCAAAATCGCAAAAGATATTGGAACGGAGCGGAAAACTTTGGCAAGAGAATTTGGAATTGATCAACGCGACATCGACAAAATTATAGCTGAAAATAATGGATCAGTTGACGATCAATGTGCGCAAATGTTGAGTATGTATGCGAGTAGGAAAGGTCGGAGTTACACAAAGAGAGCATTAGTTGAAGCACTCTTTAAAAGNCGGGCTGCGCTCTGTAGCTGAAGATCATGTATGTGTCTAAG